ATTCTGTGTGTGATTCTGTGTGTGTGTGTGTAAAGAATCTCACCTGAAATTCCACAATCATCATGTGCAAAGATGCAGACTGAGGTAGGACGGTGGCATTGCTGGTTAGGTGACTGGTCACAGCTGTCCTCGCATACCAGAAATACAGGTTATGCCATGGCAACAAACTTGTAGTAAAAAACGGCTCTCCCACAAGAACAGAAATCTTGACCAAAAAAAAAAGGAGGACATAAAAAGCATTATAATAAAGAACAACAACTCAATAAACACAGGCTGTTTGTATCTTCAATAGCTGACAATGCAACAGAGCAAGTGAGGTCATCTAGTTAAAATCTTCTAGTGTTCCATAAGGATTTAATTACTGCATATACTGCACAACAGACGTCTTTTCGTGTTTATAGTTAGCAAAATTTAAAATTAATTTTCCTGCAATTAAGTGTTAGAGAAAACACTGCAGTCTGAGGCGAGAAGACTTTGTAGTAAGAGTAACAGAATTTTGAGATTTTTAATTCAAGAATGTTGGTACTTCCAAATAGATTGCAATCTTTTGAGTGCCTTGAGAAACACCCACAGCCTAGTGGAACATACGCAATTAAACCAGTTGAACTGCCCTTAAATTGGTGTCGATTATGCAGGAAGGGAAAGTCATACCTTTTCAAAAACAAAGCAAAAACCCTCCCACAGTCTTTAGACTAAGCCTGAATTAGTTCCAGTGGGACAAGGTCTGAACCATCTACTCATTGCACTTCACATATAATGGGATTCGCTGTGGTTACAGAAGCACAGTAGGAAAGCAAGACACATTTTGACTTTCCACTCCTCACCACCCTGCTGAAATTCAGTATTGGACAACTGTAACATACCTTTTTATCTTCCAGATGAGAAGATGTCAGCAGCTCAGGACGTGCTTCTATTATTTTGATTTTATCTTCAAGATTATTTGCTTTAAAAAACTAAAAAAAACCACAAAAAAGCATATGGTCTTCATCAAAAGCTACAGTTGAGACTCAAACCCATACCAAAATAATAATTTTATTAAAATAAACAGAAATGAAACCCAATAGCCAAAAGGAATTTTTAAGAAACTGTCTACCATAACTCACCAGGATTATAAAAATAAGGAAACAATAAGCACAACTCCTCCCCCCAACATATTTCACCTCGTACAGTCCTGTCAAACTGTATGACCAAATACATTCATTAAACTGAATTAATCTCCAAGGAACTGGTGCAAAGACAATCAAAGGCATCAGCTCTGGCCTTAGAAATGCCATGAGTTCAGTTACTGCTTTAACAGAAAACCACATACTCACTTTTTGCATGACAGAACAGGACACAGCAGAGTTTTCTAATGTAAACACCTGAAGAAAATACACACCAGTTAATCAGCTAGCATTATAATTTTTAATTAAGAGAACAGGTAAACAATGAGGGAATTATTTTGATGCCCTAGTGAACATGGTTTATAAGAAACATGCATCTGCTCCACACCCCACTGTCACATACGTTCTTAACAATAAAAACACTCCCAATAACTGCAGACTAAATAATGCTGTTTTCACAGCCATACAAGAAAAAACCATACAGAATGCAAATACTTCTTTTCCATTTTCTTAAGATGCACATGGCACATTACCATTGCTGTAGGCATGTATTTACTCCTGAACAAATGCAAGCATATTGCCAGTGTGCTCAAGCAACCTCTAGTAGCGTTTACTCCTTGTAAGCATTGTTCAACATGATCTGACTGCCTCAGGTGGGAAGAGCTCAGATGTGCAATGCAGCACAGCAGCCTTTTGAAGTACGACAGAAAAACAGGTTTTCTTCAAAACTGGTGAATAGTTCAGCAGTATGCTGCTACAAGTCTAGGAAAAAATCATGGAAATCTCTGCGTCTGCCCTGGTCATTCGTGACTAGCCACGAGTAAAGACAAAAACATGGGGGTCATGGATCACTGGTTCAACTCAGCATGTGTATTTCTATGAATTGCCGAGTATCTTCCTCAGAACTGTATTACTCATTCCAAGATATTCAGTCCAACTGTAATTGATTTTAGTCTGAAGAGCCCCGTGAGAGAACACATCAAGTAAGGTATATACGTGAGTAAGACAGGCAGGTGGCTCTCAGCTCTCATTTACACAGACTCAGTATTCTTACTGCTTCCTATCTTGCTGTTACAGACCTTCCATTTCACAGAATCACAGAATCCCAGAACGTTAGGGATTGGAAGGGACCTCCAAAGCTCACCCAGTCCAATCCCCCTGCCGGAGCAGGAACACCCAGATGAGGTTGCACAGGAAGGCGTCCAGGCGGGTTTTGAATGTCTGCAGAGAAGGAGACTCCACAACCTCTCTGGGCAGCCTGGGCCAGGGCTCTGTCACCCTCACTGAGAAGAAGTTTCTTCTCCAATTGAAGTGGAACCTCCTGTGTTCCAGTTTGTGTCCGTTACCCCTTGTCCTATCATTGTTTGTCACCGAGAAGAGCCTGGCTCCATCCTCGTGACACTCACCCTTTAAATATTTATAGATAATAAATGTAATTATGGAATTGCAAACATAAAAGAAGAAAAAAAGACCAGCAGACATTTAGGTCAGTAGAAAGAGCATTTCCAAAGGCATCAAGACACAAGATGGCAAACAGCAATCAGTGGGGAGTGAGGAACACTGGTTTCATTCAAGGCTGCACATTGGTAAACATCAAAACTGGTAGTTATTCTCTTCCTAGACTTCAGCTTGATCAGAGACGAATTTAACATCCACTCCAAGAAAATGAGAGCCCCTTTCTCACTCGTCACTGAAGAGGCACTGGAAATAATTTAATAATAGGCTGGAAATGCTGAACTATGTGAGAGAACTAAAAGTACCACACTAAAACATGAAAATCAGAAAACCAGGACGAAGTATCGTTACCTGCTTTGCTCCAAGATAGTGAGCCAGCACAGGAAGCAGACTGCCATCACTGATACAAAGGCAAACACTATCTCCTTTCAGAACCTACAGGAAATAAAGTCATTGTTATTCCTATTCTAGATGAAAAAGTTTTCAAATTGTAGATATTTTGGTGGCATTTCTTCCCACTTTATACACTGACATATTAAACAAGGACTGGGAGATACAGTGGTTAATATGACCACTTCGAGCAAAACATAGTAGTGTAAAAAATGTTCATATAATTTCCCTCTTTTAGGTCACAAAAAGTTTGCACAAAAATGTATTGGGTGTCTTTACTCAACTACCAATATTCCTTCTAACAAATACACAGTGCTGCTACAAATTCCTATGCAAAAATGCCTGCTTATAATTTATTATTTTTTTAAAATACTGAAGTTTTCAAGACAAAACGTAATTTACGTCTGCTGATGTAAATAAAAGATGCTTTTTGATCAAAGTTCTTTAGCAAGGGAGAAACAAATTCCATAAATAATTACTGTGAAAAGAAACAACACATTCATCTATCACAGAAGCCAGAAAACCTACGGGCAACCTGCACTCACTTTCATCAGAGCCTCGGTGTACTGGCACGTTCGGTTCTGATCATTCAATTGTCCAAAGCGCGGTCTATTCCAAAGGAGATGAGCCTGACATCTACAAACAGGACTCTCAACACGAACATCTGCTTTATTCTCCTCTTCTCCTCTGGAAAAAAGTTCCAATGAAATATTAGCTACGGCATCAGTAACGTGTTTTTGCAAGCAAGAGCATTTATCCATTTTAGCTAGAACGCACGTGCATCTGGACTGCACTGTTACTTGTTCAAATTTACCAGTTCTCCAGGGAGATTTTTGTAACTTTGCATTTCCAAATGAAAAAAGAGCCAATTTTCAACTTGTTTGAAAGACAAACCCAAGACTTTCCCCCTAACTGTGATAGGTACTTTAGGCTTTGATTTTTCAGAAAAAACTTACTCACTTGGATTCCTAAGTAAAAAAGGCACATAAGATTCAGATATTAACTTTTAAAGCTGGCACTGATTTTTAAAACTGTTAGCTGCTATTGTCATCACAGCCAGCATGATTCAGCTCCGTTTAACTTGTGCACTGCCCATGAAATGGCTTTTAATGATTGTTACCTGGCTTTGTGCAGCTTATACCACACAGAGTACTCATCACGACAGGCAGTCAGGTACACCTGCTCACCCTGGACAACTGGCTCCTCATTCGGAAGAAAATACACACACTGCATCCAGTGATCTCTCCACTGAAAAGGGTCGATAAACACAACATTAGGAAGTCACTCATAAACAGTAAATAAAAAGTAGACAAATAGCAGGAAATCAATTAGTAAGCACGGGCACAACTTTGAAGCACGGATGTACGACTAGTCGAAAGTGTCTCGTTCATGTTAGCAAAGCTGAATAAAGACTAATACCACTTACTGAATAAATGTACTTTATATTGATTTCTTACAAAAGAATAAGCCTGAGACCACTGGCTTGCTGACTAGCTAAGCTTGTATTTTAATCAAATGAAAAATCCAAAATGCACTTTGTGTTTATCAACGCTGTTTCACCTCTATAATTCACTGTTAGAAACCTATACTGAATTGCCAACAGGGACCAGTGGTTAGAGACTCACGCATCGAATGAGGTCACTTAGAGTCACTGACAGGATAGCACAGCTATTTTCTTTCAAAAAGCTATTTTCTGCATTACAAATATCCCAAGCTGATTGGTCTTTCTAAGCTGACCAAACACCCTGAAGCTGAAGAGCTTCACAGTTTATTCTCAAACACAGTAAGTGCAAACAATCGTTTTGTAGCTTCCTTTAGACTAAGTTCATCCTACTAATGAATACATTCATACAAAACCACAGGAATCTGATTTAATAGTTATCTCCTGTTCCTCTAATTGTTCAGTGTCAACAGAGCATTTTACCACACCAGCGTTTTTTATGGAAGTATAAATATATCACTTTAAACTTAACACTTATTTGGAAACCTAATAGAACGACATGGAAGAAAACCACAGACCAATATTTTGCCAGGGATAGAGACCAGTTACGGAAAAATGTGCGGAAATCTTTGTTTTATTTCTAGGAAATAAAGGAAAAATAACTGGAAGAAAGTTTTACATTAAAGCTGACATTTTGGTTTTACATTAAAGAAAACCTACAAGACAGGTACATGCTATAGTTAACATTTCTAGGATTTGCTTATTTAGCATCTCCCAGTACATAAAACATTAGCAAAGTTCCCACAGTTTAAGCAGTGGGAAGCTACAGCTGCTTAAAACACCCAGTATGGCCTTTACTCAGAATTATTACTGCCAGTCATCTGATGATAGCAGCTGAAGGCTCAGTATTTTACCTGGAGAGCAGAAGCAGATTTTACCCAGTACGGTGCCATTGTGCAGTTTATCATCCCAGCAGGGTCCATGTCAATGTCCCACCAGGAAAGTACGATTTGTGCCTTGCCAGATTTTACAGGCTCCAGCAGCGCTCTGTAGGAGGTAGAAGCACTCCTTACTGGCTTACTGAAATCCACACTGCAGAGAAGCATGACAACTGTAGTAAGAAAGAGTTCAACATTCTTCAGAAATCCTCACGAGCTTCCTAAGCTGAATACACAGTTTACATAAAAGGCATAGCAGGAAAATTTTGGCCTGAACAAAACAAAGCCTGCCTTACCTGAACATTGTCACCACATCACTAAGGACAGTGAAGTCACTTGAAGGCATCTGGTTCAGCTGGATATCACAAACAGAAGGAACACCTGGACAGTTCTCCATTTCTGAAGGGGAGACAATAATTTTTTCACCATCCTCTGCTTCGACATGAACAGGAAACAGTTTATTCCAGGACCACATTCTTTTGGATTCCACTAACTGGACATACACTGTTGCCCTGTGAGGCACTGCCTCGCATCCTTCCTGAGTGTTCAAAACAAAGGGTAAGTGCATTCAACAAGTCTGACTTATTAACAGGCATGAGAATCAAATCAATTGAAATGTGAACCAATTTAAAGAAAAGTTGGAGTGGGAGCTTTGAAATATTAAACACAAATTATTTCAGAGAATTCTGTAACATTCCGAGCACTTTCTCTTTGTCTCTCTATCCATGAAATACGATAAACAGATCTATCCTTTTCAGTGTGGTTCAGCAAGGCCAGATTACTTTAATAACCATAAAATGTTAGCAGTTTACCAGCCTCAATTAAACTTGCATTTCCATTCTCGTTCTGAAATAAAGGATCTATCTTGAGCTACTCAGGTAACTACTAAGCTACCAAAATTAAAACAGAGTTTGTGATTGCAACAAATAAGTAAGAAAAATAATGGCTCAAATATTTATGCAATTACAACTTTGTATCCACGTTTAAAGAGCAGAAAACATAAAAGTTGTTCTAAAAAAACCACTGTGAACTAAGAGTGAACTGTGAAGTCCAACAACAATGCTCTTACAAAAAGAACTAATTACAATTTAGAGTTATATATGGAGAGCAGTAAGAGGTTATGGAGTGCTTCATAAGTGAAACTGGTGAAATGAAACCTAAATGAAGACATTTTAATTAACGGAAAACAGTAGAAAGGGTAAAAGAGAAAGCCCTAAAATTATACTTATAGATTATATGTCAAAAAAACCTGGACATTAATTTTATTACAGTGTTTGAATATTTCCACAGGCAAAGGACATGCTCAGCAGCAAGAGTTCCTTAAGAAAAAAAAAGCAGTTTTTCTAGGGATAAATCTGACGCGCTCTCAATTTCTATTTTCTTACCTGCACAAGATATTTGTGCGCATGCTCATAGGTTGGCAAAGCTCCTTCTCCTATCAGCTCTGTATCAAATAATTCTGTTACCAGGATGTTTGCACGACATTGCATATCTCCATCTGAAAGGCACAATTTAATATTGTAATATTAAGACTTCATATAAGTCTTTTGAGAAGATGCTATCATGAAAACACAAGCAACTAGAAAAAACTTATTCCTGCTAGAAAACCTGCTGAAGACTACGAATTATTTTCCTTTAGAAGTTTACTGTGAAATACAAACGACTGCTGAAATACTATTACAACACTTTTGTAGTAAACTTCCAATGCTACCTTGTAGAGAGTAAGGGATTTGCTTATTTTAATTAAAAACTTACCAAAAATAAAAATAAGACTTATTCCTTCATGATTTTGAGGTACTTGCCAATTTTTTTAACCCCAGCGTCCTTTTCTCACCTGGGCCAACCGTGACTTCAGTGGAGTGCTTGTTGATTACCTTGATCTTGTCACAAAAACCATTTTTCTCCACTATCTTCACAGCAGCATTAGCCATGGGTTTGAAAACCTGTATATAGCAGAAATATAACAAACTGGTAAGGTAACATTAGCTTTCAAAAATGAAAGGACACCAACACAAACTGCAGTACATTTTGTCCTGCAAAACTTTTAACATCTTCTGTATTTTTTCCTATTTTTAAAGTTCATCACCACGCCTCATTTCAAAAGTTCACAGAACTTCAATGTCACTGTTACAAACTATCAGCTGCCTCCAAAAGCTGCTCCAATTTAACTTTTGAAAGACAAGAATGCACATTAAGAATATTTTAACATTTACGTTAAACTTGTTGTTTTTTAAAATAAAGATATATATGCATCAAGAGGTCCCAAGAGACTTATATGTGCTGAAGGCATCAAATAAGTAAAGAAAATAATAAAAGAACCCAGAACAACCAGCAATGGTCACTGAAGTATGCCTAAAATCTGCTTTTATTAACAGCATAACTGTGAAGAGAATTTCTATTTCCTGCAGAACAAAGAGGAGAACAGAGTATATAGTGTGAAAATAACAGAACATGTTGAAAGGGCTTAATGTCTATATCCAGATTTAAACTAAAACATTTTAAACATTCTACTCAGCCACATAATCTGACTACTTAAGATATGACATTTGTGGCCACTTCGGAAACCAGAACAACCCTCTCTGAATGCTTCCTGTGTCTACATGGAAGCGGACCATCCCCGGAAAATTATCATAGGATAAAATCGTAGACTCAAGAAACCCCAAAAAACCTTGGATAAAAAATCACACAGCATTCTTTCAACTATGACCTACAGACAAGTGAATCTTCTCTTTGCTTCTTCAAATGCACTAAAACAAAAGCTAAACTGGCCACAATGTTCCTGTTATTATCCTTAATACAATAACGGCTGCTAACGACCATCAGGATGTTTCTTAACAGCCAATATAAAAGGAGATGCTCTATCTAACCACAAAGAGATGGAAAAACTAGTTTGAGATAGCCTCTTTATTATGATGTGGCCCATGTTCTGACGATGGGTCTGAGAATCCATCTCCAAAAACTGAAACTTGAGAGGATCTGCAATGTGGCTTGAGAATACATTTTCAAAAACTTGATTTAAGTTTTACACAATGCACTTGAGTTTCAATAAGTAGAGAAGACAGAATACTAGAAAATTCGTAATTTTAAGCTGGACAGAAATTGTCCCAAAAATGAAAAATGTACTATTACATTTTCAACTATATTCTTGTGCAACCCAAGTGTTTTTGACACATAAAAGTATCGAGCTCGTGCTTCAGAAGCCACAATATAAATCAGTGAATGCATCCACCCCACTGATCATGCAGACGGAACAACTGCACCGAAACTCTAAGAGGCGGCTACGAACACGCGTGCAGAAGTACGTGCAACCCATAACAAATGCATACCTCAACTGCATAGCAGAAATCTGCACCTGCTGAAGCTGCCATCATAGACAGGAGTCCTGTGCCAGTCCCTATGTCTAGAACAATTGCTTTCTCTCCTCTTGCTTTGACTCTGCTCACTGCAGCACGAATACCTTGGTAATATTTCACATTCTGTGAAGAAAAAAAGAAACAAAAATCAGCAACCTTTTATTCATTTATGCATTTAATTTTTCTGCAGAAATCTTGCAATTTCCAGCTATGAGTTTATAATTGGAAAAAGGCCTACAGACATTCTTTGTCCTACAGTCCAAGGCCATTTTCAGCAAAAGCAAGTGTTTTTGGAGGGATCAGTCCATTTAAAGCACATCAATTTCTATCACGCTATTCACATCATCACTGTTCACTCAGCTATTTATAGCACATGCCTAATTTACAAATGCAATGTATTTCCTGGAGCAAACAATAAAAGGATCCATGTTGAGATACTACTGTTTTTCCAAATGTTTTTACAGATGCCTTCTTATATCTGACTCCAGTGTTCTGATGTTTACTGCAGATCTGTTGATCTAAGAGCAGGCCTAGTATCTTACAGGGTACAAATCTGATTTCACCTTTCGGAGAAACCTGTATAATCATGCAGTGATAGCTATTCAAGAGAAAGGAAAGAAGTATTTTCTCACAATTCCAATTTTTTGGCTTCTATACTTACTCTGTCCTTATCGTGAAGCATATCTGCATAGCGTGACCTATAATAAAAATATAAAATATTAAATAAATTATAAAATAAAAAGAAAAATCCAGTCAAAATACTACATGCTGCAAAGTACAACCCAACTACTAGATCTTATACAGCCTCCTTTGTTTCCTCTTACTAAGGCAACTGGCACCCATGGCCCATAAATGCACAGATAACGGTCACGCTCTTTGAGGATCTGAATTGTTTCTGAAATCTAAGGAATAATGTCATTTCAGTGGTCTGATCATCAGCATATAAACGAATTAACTGCTGGCATATATCCTTTCTTCAGCAATACACAGACCTATGGACAAACAGGTGTGAAATAACAGCTGGGACAGACCAAGGATCATACAGAGCAATACATAACAATGAAAGACAGCCCAATAAAAGTCTGTAATTTGTTACCAACATTTCAATTTCTTAGGTCTCCATATCATGGGTCATACTAAAAAATACCTCAAAATCCAATCTTCGCAGCTTCTCTGGCTGTTACGTCAAGGTCTTAAAAAAACTACTACAGGAACAGACAACTAGTAATGATTTGTTACACTGGGGATTTAAAAGAAATTTAGTCAATGTATTTTGCCACAACCAGTCACTGTCAGCATTAAGATAAGCACCTCAGAATACATTTAAAAAATTTAGAAGTAAACTACTTGGAGAATACTTTACAAAATTCTACGTCTACAGTTCTGCCCTATACAACACAGGGCACTGTAACAGTCAGACTGTCCTACAGTCTGCTCATCTCGTGCCCTTGGAACTTTCAACAGAGATAAATCCAAAAACTGTCATAAAAACAAGATGGGCTTGGTCTTTTTTGTAACTTTAGTGGGACAAGCTATTTCTTCCAGCCTACCTTGCGATTTCCTGATGGTAGTCATAGTCCTCATCCTCCTCTACCCACTCCATTGCACCAGTGGTTGGATTAGCTCTTCCACAAAAGGTTTTCATGCTCAATCTCGGTATGTGCTGTTTATGTACTATGTGCAGTTTTGATGCTTTGGCTTCAGTATAATACTCAAAATATTGGCTGTGGAAAAAAAAAACCAACAAAAACCAAAACTTTGAGTGAAAACAGCAGACCTGACTCCAGCTCTAGACACATACATATACTTTCGCTTTTACACCTGCCTTAGCCAGAAGCAGTAGTGACTGCCTTGCACTTTTTCTACACGGATGTTTTAAGCTCAAATCTGTCACCCAGGACTGCTCGTGAACTGAGCCCGGAAAAAAAAAATAACATCACCAGTATATTCTACTGGAAAAACAATTTCTCCCAAGGCGAAGCACGTCGGGCTGGGGGAGGCCAACCACCCTCTCCAGGGGCTCCTCACGCCCTGAGGAGGGACCTGCACACTCCTGCACACATGGGCGGCCGCAGGGCCCTCCAGGCCGGGACTTGCGGCCGCACTGAGGAGACCGCAGCCGGAGAACAGCACCAGCTCCTCATCCCGGTAGCAACAGCCC